AGGAGGAGGCGGGGGAGGCGGAGGAGGAGGAGAAGAAGAAGACGGAGGAGACGGAGGCGGAGGAGGAGGAGGACGAGGAGGAGGAGGAGGAGGAGGAGGAGGAGGAGGAGGGGAGAGGTGGGGGGCAAGAAAGAGGAGAAGAGGACGAAGAGGGGGAGGGTAATGGATGGCAGAGGGGGGAGCTAATGGCGACGGAAAAAAAAGAGGACATGGTAGACGGAGGACGAGGAGGGATAATTGGGGGAGGGAGGAAGAGAAGGGAAGAGGCCGAGAAGGAACGGGGAGCGCCGGGGACAGAAAGTGGAGTATGTCGACGAGGCGGTGAAATAAGATGATGAGGGAGCAGAAATAGTCACACGCAACAAACGATGAACACGGGTCTGCAGGGCCGAAACATCTGGGGCCACGGCGGAACCCAGGGGGCTGATCCGCGGGGCCGACAGTGCGGACATAAAAAGATCGGGGCGGCGGGGAGGCGCGCAGGGTGATGTGCGAGGAGGGGCTGGGCTGGCTGTGGGGGGGGGCGCGGGGTCAGTGCCGCGCCGACTTAAAAGGGTCTGGGCGCGGGGGGCGCGCTGACTGGCGGGCGGGAAGGAGATGAGCTGGCTGTGAGGCCAAGGCGCGGCGCCAGTGCTGTGCTGTGCCGAAATCAAAACGGTGGAGTCGGAAGGGGCGCGCTGGCTGGCGGGCGACGCATAATTTAGCTGGCTGTAGGAGGGGGAGGCACGGCGCTGGCGGCGTGACGAAGCAACGAGGCCGGGGCGGAAAGACCGTGCCGGCTGGGCGAAGGGGGCGCGCTGGATGCTGGGCGAGGGCCGTCTGGGCTGGCCGCGTGGGGGGGCACCAGGCGCGGTCCTGGTGCCAGGCGCGCTGGGCAGGGGAAGCGACGTGGGCTGGCCGCGGACATGTGGAGGTGGGCGGGCGCGGCGCTGGTGCCGTGCCGGGGCGTTCTGGCTGGCCAGGGGAGGGGTGAGTGAATCCGTGGCTGCAAAGCGGGGCCAGGGAGGGGGGTCACCGGTGCCGTGCCGAAAGAACGGTCGGGGCGGAGACGGCGCGCTGGCGACTACGCATGAAGGCGGAGGTGGGGCCGGCGCCGTGCCGAAATCAAGGGGTCGGGGCGGAGGGGCCGCGTTGGCTGGTGTGGGAAGTGGGGGGGGGACGGCGAAAAAAAAAAAAAATGGGGCGGAGGGGCGCGCTGGCTGGCGGGGGAGGGGGGAGTGGCTGGATGCGGAGGGGGACCGAGGGCGGACTGGCGCCGTTCGGAAATCAAATGTTCAGGGCGGAGGGGGCGCGCTGGCGTCTGCGGAGAAGGGCGGAAGGGAGACTGGTGACGAGTCGAAATAGTGGTCGGAGCGCTAAGACACTTCGCAGCAAGAAGAAGTCGGGGTCCCCGCACACCTCACCACCCATGTTTCCCGTGGTGGAGCACGCAGAGTGCAGAGGTGGGCGATGGCGAAAGCGACGTCGGCGTGGTGAGACTCGGGCGCCACTCCTCGGCGATGCGGCGCGATCCTCAGACCCCATTTGCTCTGGCCCATGTCGGGAGGCCCGAATCCCCATCCCGCTCCCGCCCTCACCACCCAGTCTTCCCCTGGCGGAGCACGGGGAGTGCAGAGGATTGGGCGAAGGCGAAGTTGACTACCTATCAAACCACCCCAACCCAACCCGAAGACCCGAATTTCGGGTTGGGGGGGGGTACGGGCTTCATGTGTGTTTTGTCAATGTTCCCCGACCCCCCCCAACTGGAAACAGAGGGCAGATTGAGACCTCCGGGTCGGGTTGGGGCGATTTGGTGGGTGGTGAGAAGTGGGGAGCGGTGGCCGATTTCTCCAGCGGGGCGGGGCGAGCAGGTGGGGAGCGGTGGCCGACGGCAGGGCTGATGTCGGGCGTGTCCCCCGACAGGGGGATTTTCGACGAAAAAAATACCCGAAAAGCGCGCCAGAAAGGACAAACAATACCCCAAAAATAGTCCCCATACTATTGTTGGACTCATGTTTTAAATAGTGTTGTTTATATTATGTTTTAGTTATACCTACATACATATATATATATACATATATATATATGTATATATATATATAAACTATATTTATATATGTATATACATATATATATATATATACCTTTTTATATACACATATATATATATATGTATATACAAACATATATATAGTGTTATTTATATATACATATATATATATATGTGTATTTTTTATTTTTCGTTGAAAATCCCTCTGTAGGGGGACACGCCCGACGTAAGGCAGGGCTGATGGGAGAACGGCGAGCCGCCCCCCTTCTGAAGGAGGCGACGCCCTGACGAGGGGTCTCGCGCCGACGAAGCGGGGCTCCCAGGGCCGGCGGCCCGAACCCGCTCTGCAGCCACTTGCCTCCACCCCGTGGAGGAGGGAGGAGGAGGGAGGAGGGAGGAAGAGGAGGAGGAGGAGGAGGAGGGAGGAGGGAGGAAGAGGAGGAGGAGGAGGAGGAGGAGGGAGGAGGGAGGAAGAGGAGGAGGAGGAGGAGGAGGAGGAGGAGGAGGAGGAGGAGGAGGAGGGAGGAAGAGGAGGAGGAGGAGGAGGAGGAAGAGGAGGAGGAGGAGGAGGAGGAGGGAGGAAGACACACTGGAGACTCTGCTTGATCGCGTAGCGGTATGAGTATAGCTCCGTCTGCCACGCCTAAGATTTTGCAGACACGCGAGGATCGAGAAGCCAATAAGGTCGCAAAGGAAGGTGGGCACCACGCCCAAGAATCTGGCAGGCAGGACAAGAAAGCACGAGGGAGATGACCGATACTTCGTGCGACTTCCTCATCCCAAGCACGGAACACACTGCGCACAGACGCTTCACGCCTTCCCTCCAACCAATCAGAAAAAAAGGGTTACGTGACCAGTCGCACTAACATAAGTAGGTACAACAAACATCACAAGCGCGTGACAAAACTTGACTACAGCTGGAATAGTCCAGACCACACGCGAATGAGCAATGTCGACAAGCCGAGACTGCAGAACACATCACGTATGCTTGCAACTTTGATCCCCTTCGTCGTTGTGGGCAGCAAAGGACCAGTCTGTCAAAGTCGAGCCACTGGGGGCACGGCCTTCCCACCACTCTGCTCCTGCTGGGCGGGCACTGCGCCGAAGCGTCCGAGGGGTCTTGCTGATCAGTGCCCCTCTACGCCACCGCGGCGCTTGGCCGATGCGCCCGAGGGGTCCCGACGGCAGGTGCCGCCTGCGCCCTCGGCCTTCTGGGAAACGCCTGCAGAGCGAAGGGAGCTCTTGGAAGTACGTGTCCGTGCATTGACCGCCCAACCTGGCCAATTAAGTTGGCGTCTCCAGCATCCTGGGATCAGCAATGCGCCGCAAGTGCATGGTGCTCTGGGCGGGGGCAGCTACAGTCGAGGCGTTGACCTAAGGAACCCTACATAAGGAACGAGGCCCCTATTTTCCATAAGTTGAACTTCGACTTCGCATCGAAAACCTAAGGGTAATCCAAGGCCAGCGGCGAAACAATTAAGGAACACGGAGCCCGTCCCAAACGAAAAGGGTTCCTTCGTCAGGGCCCCGACTGTACTCCCAGCACCCTGCGGAGGGGTCGAAGACCTCCGCCTCCGCGCGCAAGGCTGGGGCCTCGCTATCCTCCGCCGCGCAGCGCCTTGCCCACGAAGCGCTCGAGGACAGAGGAGTACCACACGTTTGCCCGTGACACGTCGGGGGCTGGCCCCTTCTCCCCGCCCTCCTCCCCTTCCCCCCACTGAATTTTGGCAGTCGCTGGAGAACGACTTCATCGTCTACTCCAACGTCGAACCCAGACCCCCGACGTCATGATTTTTTCATGACGTCGACCCCCCGAGGTCTCGACCCATTCCCCGGGACCGGTTTTTCGTCCTGAGTCGTTTTTTGACGGTCCCGAGGGCTGGTAAGGGCCCCCAAAGGCCAAAAATAATGGAAAACCTCCCATCGTGATTTTTTAATAACTCGAGGGGGTCTGGGGACTACCACGGGCCCCGGCCCGCCCGCGCCGGCCCCCCGGGCCCCGCCAGCCGCCGGCCGGCAGACACGCGCCGCCTCGCCCCGCCTCGCCCCGCCGCCCCGCCGTGGAGCGCAGCACCGCCGCCCTCCGCTGCAGCGGCTTCGCCGCCGCCGGGGGGGACGGCTCCTGCCCGCGGAGCGCCCGCCGCAGCCCACGCCGGCCAGGGGTCGCGGGCGCGCCACGGGCTGGCCCGCCGCTCGGCGTGCGACCGCCTGCACGGCGGCGGGCGAGCCTTCCCGGGCGCGACCTCCCATAGCCGTCCCATTCTACCACTTGCGTCACTCCTCCCTGCCTTCGTTAGCCCCCTACCCCCCCCACGATTTCCGAGGGGAGGTTCTCCCTGCCTTTCTGAGGGGAGGGTGACGTTCACTTCGTTCGGGAGCTCCCGAGCGAAGTGAACCCCACCCTCCCCTCAGAAATCGTGGTTGGTAGGGGTAGGGTTCACATGTGGCCCCCTATTCGTCACCCAGCTACTCAATCAAAGAAGAGTTCTCGGCGTCCCTCAAGCGAAACGCGCGGAGACGCAGGGAGCGGCATCAGGTCGCCCAGAGTCGAAGAAAGGGGCCAACCAAAGGACTTGAGTCGCGCAGGCTCGAGGGAGGCGGAGGAAGAGGAGGAAGGGGAGGAAGAGGAGGAGAAGAGAGGAGGAGGAGGAGGAGGAGAGAGGAGGAGGAGGAGGCGGAGGAGGAGGAGGCGGAAGAGGAGGGGGAGGAGGGCGACGACGACGAGGAGATAGGAGGGAGGCGAGAAGGAGGAGAAGGAGGAGGAAGGCCTGCGTCGTTCCGACGTTTTGGCACGACCTGAAACCTGAGGAGGAGGAGGAGGAGGAGAAGGAGGAGGAAATAGGATGAGGAAGGAAGGGACGGAGGGCTGAGCGATCCCCACAAAACCCCCGGGAACTGCACTGGAGCCTCCACCCCCCGGCGTCCCCCGAAGAGGGCGGGAGGAGGAAAATCACTGTGGGCTTGTTGCGGCCCGGGCGGACAGGTAGATCATCTTGTCGGGGAGCTTCGCCTTGAATCTCCGGTGCGGCACGGAGCCGGCGTCGACCTCTCCGACCAGCCTGACCGCGGCTGACCACAGGCTCCGGCACATCCAGTCACGAGGCTGCCATGGTTCGGGGATGGACAGACCTCCCTTTCGTGAAACGTGGTTTAGTGAAAACGACCTGAGGCGCAAAACCTGGCGGACGCAAGCCTGAAAAATGACGGCCGCGGCGCCCTCCCGAGGACCGAAAACGGGCAATTCAATCGACGTGTCAGGGTAGGAGGTCTGTCAACCCCCGAGCCATGGTTGCATCGCAGTCGCTGCTGCAGCCGGAGCCGCTCCCCCCCCCGAGGATCACACCGTGCTGCCACAAAGGGAAGGCTGGGATCGGGAACGGGCGGCTGCCTTCCGGCCACGGCCGGCCTCGATCACGAAAGACGGTCGTCGTGCTGCCAGAAGAAGCGCCGAATGGGAAACGAAAGCGCTTTTTTCTGGCCACCTCGTGGATCAGCTCCCCGACCTCGATCTAAGGGCCGACAAAAAAAAGGGAACCCCTCCTGAGCCAAGCGTTGTCCTCCTTGCAGAGTCTGGACTGCAAGTTCCCCGACCTGGATCCGAGGAGCAGACTTAAAACCAGATCCCCTCCTGCTGGCCATCGCTCGGACGTCCATTCCCTGTGTTTTTTTCGGTTTCGTGCGTGGCTTTTCCCCCAAATGATCAATGATGCTCCTCGATGGTCCTCGCCGAAAGAAACATGCACACGTCCGAGCGATGCCAAGCCTGATCCCACTTCTATGTTGCGATGACGTGGCGGTACACCTCTCCGCAGATATCCACCGGAGTGGGGCGAGGAGGAAGAGGCGAGGAGCGAGGAGAAAGCAGCTCCTCTACGGCTCCCCTGCTCCTCCCCTCCTCTACTTAATCCTCCTCCTCCATCCGCCTCTTGCACCACCCTGGCCCCTCCTCCTCCTCCTCCTGCTCCTCCTCCTCCTCCTGCTCCTCCTCCTCCTCCTCCTCCTCCTCCTACTCATCCTCCTCCTCCTCTTCATTTCATCCTGCTGTTGTTCCTCTTCCTCCTCAAACTCCTCCACCCCGTCAATCTCACGTTTCTGTTTCTCCTTCCCGTCCCCCTTCCCCTTCCATCGCCATCCCCCCAGAGAAGCCTTCACCGCCATCTATTCTCTCCCTCTCCCACTCTCGCTATCTGTCACTATACAGCCCTGCCTGTCTGAGTGTACGCATAGTAAATATGCGCATGTATAAATTTGTTCTCCAACACACAACACCACATGTGACAAAACCGCATCGCCAATCGACAAGTCGCTAGGCAAACCGGGAACACCGCACACACCGACATGCAATAGGCACACTCATGCTAGGAACTGTGGCAGGGAGGAGGGCGAAGGAGGAGGAGGAGGCAAGAGAAACAAAACACTACCACGTTCCTTACAAAACATAACTGGTGACCCACACACACACACATCGCGCGATTCAAAGCGTCGCTAGGCAAACCGGGAACACAACACAAACCGCCCTGCAATAAACAAACTCCTACCGTGACCTGGGCAATAAATCGGCAGCGCGGTTGCTCTCCGTGCATATGGATATCCCTCGCGGCCCGAACGGCCAAGGATATCACCAACACGCAGCGCCAAGAGGGGACAAGAAGAAAGAGGACTAGGAGGAGGCAGATGCGGAGGAGGAAAGGGAGGAGAGGCCGAGTGAGGGACAATACCCAACAGCATTCGCGCGTGCGTAAGCCGACCTGTGTAGACGGCCCCCGCACAGAAGCCCTCGCGAGAACGAGCGAACGGGATAGGGAGCAACCGGAGGAGGAAAGAGATCCCAACAAAGAGCCGTGAAATGCTACTGGCCTCGGCAAGTCAGGTACTGTGGATGACCACGCTAGCGCTGAACAAGCAGGCAGGGAAATCGGTATGGCGCTGAAGAGGGAACATAACAATGGATAACTAAAACATAACAACGCAAGCCAGCGAGCTGAACTAGGCGTGCGCCAGGCGGACACCAGCAACGCCTGCTGCGCGGATGCACTCCGCCGGGCCTGGGCCTGAGGCGACGCCCTCCGTGTAGGCCTGCTCCCATGTGTCGGTCGCATGTGCATCTGGACTGTGCCGTACCCTGTTGTTCGACATGCACGCTGCGTAAACGCAGAGGGCCTGACGCGTGAGCAGCGCTGCGTGGGCGGATCCAGCAGCAGAAGCTGATCCCACCCATGTGGGTGCGTAGGCCGAGGCAGTGCAAGGTCTCGGCAGGCCAGTGTAGCGACGGCAGAACCATACGCATAGTGTTGTGGATGCCCCGGCAATGGACACCCTAACAGTACTATCATTGAATATGAAAGGGGCTTAAAATGTAGGAGCAATGTTTTAAACATGGTTAAAGCATGCTTAACACATGTTTTAGACATCTGGAAATAATTTGGCAACATGCTTCCTCTCCGTTGATCGTCCTCCACAAGCACAGTGGCGAATGCTGTCCTACCCGCCCTGGCACCCGAATTCGCATCGTCCCGCCTGACCCCGTCGGGGCCTTTGGGGGACTCTTGGGCGCCTCTAGGGGATTCCTGGGGGCCTATTGGGGCGGAAGGCTCGGGTTTTCGGTCCGTGGTCCCTCTCTTGGGCCCCTTTTGGGGTCGCCTTGGAGCCATTTTGGGCAGCCTTGGGCGTTTCTTGGGTCGTCTTGGGGCGTTCTTAGGCCGTCTTGGGGCCTTCTTGGAGGCCTCTTGGGCAGTCTTGGAATGGTCTTGGGGGCCTCTTGGGCCTTCTGGGAGCGTCGGAGAACAGAAACGGCGAGAACGCCACAAGCCGACGCAAATTTCAATGGTGCTTGCCTCGTGGGGCCCTCTTGGGAGGCGTCCTGGGCCATCTTGAAGCCACATTGAGCGTCTCGGCACGATCTTTCTGCTACTCGGGGCCTTCTTGGAGCGTCTTCGGGGCCTCGTGGGCCCAAACGAATTATGCGACAAGACTTCCTGGATCCCATCGGGCACGCGACCAACCCGAGAAGATGTTCGGAAATTGGAGCCTGGGCCCCTTTTACAAAAGGCACCACAAGAGTGCTTAGAGGATGAGGCAAAGGACCCAGGACAAGCCCACTCCGTGCCCAGCGGCACGATGGCGTATATGTGTGTATGTACACGTTGTATACATATGAATGCATATATATATATATACAGATATATATGCAAGATCACTCTTTCTGTCTGACTGTCTCAATGTCTGTGGTCTCTCTCTCTCTCTCATTCCTCGCTTCCTCCCTCACTCTCTCCCTCTCTCTCTCCCATTCTCTCTTCTCTGTCTACGTTCTCGGCACTGCGCAGGTTGGTTCAGAGGGCATCGTGTGGGCAGACAAATGCATGCATCAGCACACGCCGCCACGAGTACGGATGCGGGGAAGGCACAACGACGACGACGACAACCACGCCGATTGACGCCGATGGCGACGACGACGACGGCAACGGCACTGACGGCGTCATCAACTCTTCTCCGGGCGCGACCTGACCCCCTTCCGTGGGGAGCCCCCTCGGTGACGAGCCCCTCACCCTCGAGGCTCCTCTGGCCGCCCGCCCGCGTCGTGGAGCGAGGCGAAGGGGTCGCCACGGGCGGGGTCGGTCTCCCAGGAGGGGGTCCGTCAGGCCGCCAGTGTCGATCAGGGCTGCACGACTTCTGCCGTCTCTCGACTCGAGCCGGAGCGCACACGGTCTGCTCCGAAGTTCCCTGGAGGTCTGTGGATTTGCCTCGATGTGCAAGGATAATCCTGGACCTATCTGGACTTACCTTGATCTATCTGGCTTGAGAATCCAACAAGTCGATTGGCGAGAAGTCGTCAAGCCCTCAGGGACCATGACTCGTTGACCGTCGGGCCTCAGGTAGGGCGCATGCTTGACCTGGTCATTGTCGATGGGGTCGTTGGTCCGGATCCGCGCAGAGACGTTCCTGTCAGCGCTCTGGCCGATGCGGCGGCTGACGTTCCAGAACTCCCTCCTCTCCTTCGTCATCCCCCTGCTCCTCCTCATAGCTCATGGTCATCATCACAGTCGTCATACGCCTGGTCGGAAACGAACGGGACGCGCCGATTTTGTCCAGTGGGCTGGTAGGGAAAAGAAGAAAAGAAAGATGATGGTGACGGCAAGTCGGCGGATGCCAAGGTGTTCGCCCACGGCGTCCAGAGTGCCCAAGACGACTTCCAGGACAGCCCAAGCAAGCCACCGATGACCGGCATGACTCCAACAGGGCTGGACCTAAACGGTGTGTTTCGTCTTCGTTGTGTTTTCGTGGTCCCTCGCCTTTGTCTTCCATCCGCCTCTAACGCGAAACTAAATCGAAACGAAAACGGCCCACGAAATCGCTAAAACACCGTTTAGGTCCACCCCTGGAATGAAGAAGGTCCAAGAGGGCCCCGAGACGTTCCAAGTTTGCTGGAGGCGGCCCAAGAGGCCCCCACCACAGTGGAACTCCAGGAGGGTCCCGCGACGTCAAAGTCGCTGATTCCCGATAGCTGTTCGAATGCTGCGCATTCTCGCCAATTGGATTTTTCTTTCGAAGAGCTCAATAACTGCGCTGCCAGATCCAGAAGCGGGCGGCGTTGCTTCCAACTGCCTCTCGTTGCCTCCTGTGGCATTCCGTAGCTTTTCGCATCCGTGTTAGTAAAATGTACCCACATGCGCATCAGACAGAGTATCAGAATGTAATAGTCCTCGCATTAGTGATAGCAATCATAGTATCTCCCTTGTCAGCCGCACTGGTCGCAGTAGTATGTTTCAGCCTCAGACTAGGTATTCATATTTGCAATCGCGGAAATGTTCTCAGTGGCATTAGTGCTTATGTTCGTACAGGTGGTTGTATTCGAGAAAGCGTCGTACTACTGAGCCTGAGTATGAGCAGTACGACTACTTTCGGCCGTGCGAATAGAGGTAATATCCGTATACCCACTGGGATTAGCAGATTGAATTGTACTAGTGTCACTGATCAGTGTCGTTCTCAGTTGTACGAGTCGCAACAGCAAGTGCGTTAGTGCTGAATCCACTATTCGTCTCAATGTGCGTCACATTAGTCGTGGAGCTTGCCTCAGTCGTAATAGAGCACGTGTTACTGTGTTTCTGTGCTCGCTAAGAAACGTGCCTGCAATGATGCTGCAAAACGGTCAAAGGCCAAGAGATGGACAACCGGACCCCTGTGGAACGTTATTGCTTCGAATATGCGGCCGCGATGTTGCCATGTCGGGCTTCCGTCAACCCAGGGCGGCCCAGGAGGCCTCAAAAGATGGTCACAGTACAGTGCAAGAGGCCCCCACGATGGCTCCGAGACGGCCCAAGATCTCAAGATGGTCCAAGGCGGCCTCCAAGATCAAGACGGCCTTTGAGGCTGCCCGAGCAGGCCCTAAGGCGGCCAAATGCGCAGACCCCCCTGACCCAGCCCGTCAGCTCCCCAAGAGGGCACCAGCACGGCCCACGGCGTTCCACACGACGGACTCCGAGGACGCCAGACTGCCCAAGAGAACCCACGTAATGGCCAAGGGAACCCTCAAGACGTCGCGAGAGGCCCCGAAGACGCCCCCAAGAGGCCTCCAAGAGGCGCCCAAGAGACCTCCCGGAGGCCCCAATGAGGAGGGACGACGAAGACAAAGAGAGACACCCCGACACGACGCGGAAACGCGTGTCACACGTCACGGCTCTCCCAAGCTTCGGGACACGAGGTGTCGCACGTTACGGCTCCTGGTGCGTTCCTCAACCAGGCGTCCCCCAGAATGGTGGGCTGGCACGGTGCCTGGACTTGCCGCAGACAGCTGGATAACCATCGTTATCATCACCATGATCATCACGATCAACAGATTCCTCAACACCGTCATCATGATCCACATCTTCACCGTCCAAATGTTCATACTGCCCTTCCTCGATCTCATACGTGAAATCCTCCTTCTCGTTTCGCTTCCGTTCTCCCTCCATCTCCCCCATGGCAATCCACCATCGTTCCCATCAGGTTGCCTTCCTTCCTCCCTTCTCCCGCCTACGCGCCTAGGCTGATATTGCTTCCACTTGCGAACTGAGTGATGCAGCTATGCTGAATGCAAGATATAATGCCATCATTTCGGCACCGAGCGTGTATTGACATCCAGAAAAACCAAGCATCTAAACGGCCTGGCAACGTCCTGAACAGAACCATGCCTGCTGCTCGTCCTCCTCCTCCTTATCCTCCTCCTCCTTATCCTCCTCCTCCTCCTCCTCCACCTCCTCCTCCTCCTCCTCCTCTTGATCCCTAGTTCTCCTCTCGCTCCTTCTAGCATCCATCTCATCCTGCCCGTCATGCGAAACTGCCCCTCCTGCTCCTGGTCATGTCCTTCCTACTCCGCATAGCCTCCCAGTCCCACTCGTGCCGGGTTCTTCGTCCTTGCCTCCCCCACTCCTCCTCCATCGTCTGCCCTCCGCCCTCCTCCTACTTCGCCCTAAGTATCCCCAGTCCTTCCCCTGCACCTCCCCGTCTGGTCCTCAACTCCTCGATGAAGCCCGTGGTGCCGACGCCACCGACGGATGTGACGTGCACCCGGAGCGGCCTCTTCCACTCAGGGCCGTCGCCCCTCCGGGCCGCCTCGCAGTGGGAGGGGGCGCGCGCGAGCAGCGGCAACGGGGGCCAGCGAGGAGGGCGAGTGGGAAGGTGGGCAAGGAGAAAGAGAGGGGAAGGAGCAAGAAGGGATGATGATAGTGATGGTGATGATGCTGCTGCTGCTGCTGCTGCTCATGATGATGATGATGATGATGATGATGATGACGATGCTGGTGATGATGATGATGAGTGTGATGATGATGATGAGTATGATGATGATGAGGATGATGATGATGATCATGATGAGTATGATGATGATGCAGATAACCATGATGATGATGATCATGATGATAATGATGGTGGTGGTGGCGAGGATGATGAGGATGAGGAGGATCATGATGATGCTGATGATGATTAGGATGATGCGGATGAGGATGAGGATGAGGGTGAGGATGATGATAATTATGATAAAATAATGATGATGGGACTGATGATGATGACCAGCGATGAGAAAGATGAGGATGAGGGTGAGGATGAGAGTGAGGTCAAGGATGAGGACGAGGATGATGATGATGATGGTATGCGGATGTTGATGAGGCTGATCATGATGATGATGATGATGAGGCTGACCACTATGACGATGATGCTGCTGATGCCGATGCCGATGATGGATGATGATGATGATGATGATGATGCTGATGATGACGATGATGACGATGATGATGAAGCTCATGATGATGATGATGATGGTGTGATGATGCTGATGATGATGTTGATGCTGATGATGCTGATAATGCTGATGATGCTGATGATGATAATGATGATGATGATGCTGATGAGTATGATGATGATGAGTATGATGAAGATGATGATGATGATCATGATGAGTATGCTGATGATGATTATGAAGATAATCATAATGATGATGATCATGATGATAATGATGGTGGTGGTGGCGAGGATGATGAGGATGAGGAGGATCATGATGGTGCTGATGATGATTAGAATGATGCGGATGAGGATGAGGATGAGGGTGAGGATGATGATAATTATGATATGATAATGCTGATGGGACTGATGATGATGACGAGCGATGAGAAAGATGAGGATGAGGGTGATGATGAGGGTGAGGTCATGGACGAGGACGAGGATGCTGATGATGATGATGATGATGGTATGCGGATGATGATGAGGATGATCATGATGATGATGATGATGATGATGATGATGAGGCTGACCACTATGACGATGATGCTGCTGATGCTGATGCCGATGATGGATGATGATGATGATGATGATGATGATGATGGTGATGATGATGACGATGATGACGATGATGATGAAGCTGATGATGATGATGCTGATGATGCTGCTGCTGCTGCTGCTGCTGCTGCTGCTGCTGATGATGATGATGATGATGATGATGATGATGATGATGATGATGATGATGATGATGATGATGATAAGGTCACGGGGGATGGGGATAAGGAGAAGGAGGAGGAGGAGGAGGCGGAGGACGAGGCGGAACGAGGACCAGGCGCAGCGCGAGGAATCGGGACGGGGAGCAGACTGCGAGGAGGCCTCGAGGGCCGGTGCCCTCCGCGCGCGCCCCCCCCGCCGAGGGGGGCGGGGGGGGGAGAGGGGGGCGCCCCGCGGGCGCCCCGTCGCGCGAGGAAGCCGCGGGCGGCCGCGGGGGTGGAGGCGCGAGCGGGGACAGAGGCACGAGGCGCGCGTGAGCATCAGCGTCTCGGGAGGCCGCGCGGACCTCCCGGGTCGGCGCCCCCCCTCCCCCCTCCCCCCTCTCCCCCCCCATCCCCGGCCCGCGAGAGGAACGCCAAGGGGCGACCGATCCTGCTCCCCAGGCTGCCTCCCCCCCCCCTCCTCCTCGCGCACGCCTCCCCCTCCTCCTCCTGCACCACCTCCCCCTCCTCTGCCTCCTCCTCCTCCCTCTCTCCTCCTCCTCTGGGCACCTCCTGGCCTCATCCTGACCTCAACGTCCTCCGCATCTTCCACCTCCTCCAACACCTCCTCCACCATTTCCTGGCTACCTCCTCCCCCTCCTCCTCCTCCACCTTGTAATCGTTATCAGCATGGCCTTCCCTTCTCCTCCCACTCCTACTATGAACGTTCTTGATGTGAGAGAGAGCGTGTGATCCACCGCCGCTTTACTTCGGAAAATTCCCCCCCCTCTTCCTCCGGAGCCCGGGGTCCCCCCTCCCCCCCCCCCCCCCCCCCCCCCCCCCCCGGCAACCCCCCCCTCCCCTAACCCCCCCCCCCCTCCAGAAAACCGGGGGTCACTACCGGTTCGAACCCCCCCCCCCTCCGGAAAACCGCGGGGGCAACATTCGAACCCCCCCCCCCAGAAAACCAGAAGAGGTTCGAACCCCCCCCACCCCCCTCCAGCCGGGGGGGTCGTTCGAACCCCTCCCCCCCTCTCCTCCCCTCCAGAAAACTGGGGGGGGCTCACTACCGGTTCGAACCCCTTCCCCCTCTCTCGGAAAACCGGGGGGGGGTCACTACAGGTTCGATCCCCCCACCCCCGTCGAAAACCGGGGGGGTCACTACCGGTTCGACCGCCCCCCTCACCGCCAGCAAAGACTCCCAGTCCTTACCACCGTCCGCACCACATCCCCCACTGCTGTTCCCAGCACCACTGTCCTCACCACCACTGCCCCCACTGGTTCCACCACCGTCCCTACTGTCCCCACCAGTGCCCCCACCACTCTCGCACTGTCCCCACTGTTCCGACCACGGTTCCACTCTCCTCACTTTCTCCACGGTCCCAACCACTGCCCGACTATCCCCACTGTCCCCACTGTCCCACTGTCTCCTCCGCTGTCCCACTGAGCTGTCCCACTATTCCCACCACTGTCCCCACTGTCCCCACCACAGACCCCACTGTACCTCTGTCCCATTGTCCCACCGCCATCCTGGCCACCGCCCTTACCACTGTCCCCACCACCACTGTACCCTCCACTGTCCCACTGTTTCCACCGCATTCCCTCTGTCCCCACACCACTGTCCCAACCACCACCGTCCTCACCACTGTCCCACTGTCCCCGTTGTTCCCACCATTGTCCCCGCTGTCCCCACCACTGCCCCCACCAGTGTGTCAATGTCCCCACTCTCCCCACCACGGTCCCACCACGGTCCCACTCCCCCCACTTTCCCCACGGTCCCCACCACCGTCCCACTGTCACCACTGTACCCACTACTGTCCCACTGTCCCCGCCGCTGTCCAACTGTGCTGTCCCAGCACCCCCACTGTCCCCATCACTGTCCCACTGTCCCCACTGTCCCCACCACTTTCCCCACCGTGCTACTGTCCCACCACTGTCCTCACCACCGCCTTCACCACTGTCCCCACTACCGTCCCCACCACTGTCCACTGTCCCCACCACTGTACCGCTGTCCCCTCACCACTGTCCCCACCACCACCGTCCCCACCACTGTCCGCACCCCTCCCAGTTTTCGAGGGGGGGGGGTCGAACGGGTAGTGACCCCCCCCAGTTTTCGAGGGGGGGGGTTCGAACCGGTAGTGACCCCCCCCCCCTTTTCATGATGGACTGGGGGGGGGTTCGAACCGGTCGTGACCCCCCGCGGTTTTCCGGAGGGGGGGGGGTTCGAACCGGTAGTGACCCCCCCCCCGGTTTTCCGCCAGCAGCGGTAGAACACGCTCTTTCTGATGTGATGATCACGCCTCCTCGATATCGTTATCGTCGTCGTTCTTGTCGCCTTTTTTGCCCTTAACTCCTCCTTCCTTCCTTCCTTCCTTCCTTGCTTTCCTGCGTCCCTCCATGCTGCCTTGGCGTCACAAGCGTCGCAAGCCCCGCACCCTTGGAACGTGCACTTCGTGGCCCACTCGCCCGCGTGTCCCCTGCACCACGACGCGCACTGTACTGCCTCCTTGGAGGAAGCAGGCGGAGAAGCAGAGGAGGATGATAGTCGTGATGATTGCTGACGTCGTCGTCATTGTCGCGATCGTCGTCGTCGCAACCATCACCGGGAGAGTGGGGGACGGTCAAATTGCGCGGTCGCTCCATGATGCGCACGCTGGATTCGCTCGCTCACCTTCCTCCTCCTCCTACTCCCACTCCTCCTCCGCCTCATCCTCGTCCTTCTTTTCGTCGTCGTCCTCCTCCTCCTCCTCCTCCGCCTCCTCCTCCTAATCCTCCTCTCCCTCTCTTCCCTCCTCCTTCTTCACCCTCCTCCTCCTTCACCCTCCTCCTCCTCCTCCTCCTCCTCCTCCGCATCCTGGCCCTCCTGATCTAAGATGTTTCGACCTTTTGCCTTCGCTCCCACAATTCCACGCAGACGCCACTGATTACCTCCTCGGCAGTGCGTCTGTGGGCAGTGCAGGTGCCATGCCAGGGGGCCTCTTGGCGACACATCGAGGCAGTGTCAAGATACCATCCTGAGCATACGGTCGGCGCTGCAAAGACAGCGTGAAACGTCGATCTCGGGCAAGCACCCGATCCCTGCAGGGAGAGCCCTCCGCGGGGGCCCCTTCTGCGCACGCGGTCCCCCTGCGAGGGCCTCGTCGGTGGACGCTGTTCCCCTGTCACGGCCTCCTGTGCGAACGCTATCCTCACTGCGGGGGATTGCGAACGCTATCCTCCCCCTCCTCCTCCTCCTCCTCCTCCTCCTCCTCCTCCTCCTCGTCCTCCTCCTCCTCCTCCTCCTCCTCCTCCTCCTCCTCCCTCTCCAATTGATTCAATGTTGCCGGCCGTAGTGCTATGAATCAGGGGGCCTTTTGGCACGCGAGGTGCTCAGCCCAGCACCCGCCGTTCGCTTTCATGCCCTAATTGTTCATGTGCCAGTTGGACACACGGCGTATTCTTCTTCTTCTTCAAGGGGTGGGCGGCGCCACAGCGCACGCCAACTTTGCAACGCCAACCGTATGCTCCAGTTCTGGGGCAATCCTGGGACAGTGGTGAAGCCTCTGCAGGACCTGTGGCACACGTTGCGAGTGAATTGGGGAGTCTTAGCTGCTAAGCTGGGAAAGGTCGCATGCAAGGTCGACGTATCGCCATACCGGGGGCGACAATGCGGCCAACTTGGACTCCATTGAGGCCTGCACTGTGGGCCACCTTGGGGGTATCCTGGTGGGGCCCTGGTGGGCATTATTCAGCGGTCTCGAGCACACACCTCTAGCAAACATTTGCGGTGATGCTCAATAGCCAACCCTGCAGAGGCGAGGGGGGGGGGCGGGCAACTGCCGCAGGGGTCTCTTTCAGAAAAGAAGGCGCCGTCCTGCTCCGGCAATTGCTACCAGCGCGGTTAACACGTAACGATAACGCTGGAACTCTTGAAACAGATCCCACTCAAGATAATTTCCATATTCTGCAGCAGCACGTGCTACACCACGACAACTTCGAATCCTCTGATACCCATATCTGAAAGCTGGTACACTGCGGCTGCGATGTTTTACCACATTAGGACGGACCTAGCATGCTTACATTAGACGTGTGGGATATGCCAAGTGCGCCTGTGAAGCGTGCTGGAGTGCGTCAACGTCTTGCTTACATGCTGCCATGGTGGGTGATATGCTCACGCTTCATTTAAGCACGAAAGCACCAAGTGCTGCACGGAGAAGGAGCTATTCGTCCTCTGCATGCTGCAATGACTATTTAGATAGACTAGTTGTTGCATCCAGTGCATATATATATGTATACATGTATATATATGTGTATATATAGAGGGGTAACTATGTACGATGCTCGCACATGCACCATGCTGATGCTTACTCAACCCACCACCCATCAACCAATATGCGACTGTATCACTGCAACAAAAAAACAGCTGTTGTCCGACAAGACCTCGGATCTGCAGAGACCGTTGCGCTTCAGAACTTGTAATTCGCTCATTGATACACACATGACGGTTTGCCTCGTCGAAGACCCAATCCTGCTCCACCAAGCGACATTGTTCAATTGCTTTCCGCACTGTGGACTGCAATTCTGCCAGCATGGCCGCGAAGGGCAACATTGGGCTATAACGCGTGAAGTGTGAAGCCTCTGGGGGCCACCTGAGGACAGTCCTGGGGCCATCTGACATACTCTGGAGGTTGTCTTCAAACCATCCTGGCTCAGGCAAACCGCGGCATAGACGACACGTCGGGGAGCATCGTTGCAACATCGTGAAGCCATTCTGCGTCGTCTTGGCGTTGTCATAAACCCTCGAGGGATACCATGACTCGATCTCTGAATGAGTTCTACTATGAAGATGTGTCCTCTGGGCTGTTGGGGGGTGGAGCTTCACAAAAACATACTCTGAGCAGTTTGCAGCTAGAGACAGTTGAATAACGATTCGTCAGAATCGCGCACATGCGCATGCTATCCCTGGCCGCATACCGTTCCCTGGGGAGCGGAGGTGGGGGATGGGGAGTCCCTCTCCTCCGCCTCTGGAGCCCGCCCAGATGAGGTTCGAGCAGATGGGGTCGGAGGATCGCGCCGCGTCGCCCATGCATCGCGAGCCGCCTCGCCGATGCATCGGCGATGCGGCGAGGTCCGGGAACCACATCAGCTTCGACCCAATCTGGGCGGCCTGGGTTTGGAAGCGGCCGGGTCTGAACTGAGTGGGACCCCAGAAACTCGACAGACGGGGGATGTGGCCAACTCGACAGGAATCGGTCCGCGGACCCGTCCCGGGGTCCATCTGGTGCTGTTTTTCACCCTGGATCCATGTTTGACGGTCTCGGGGGCCCGAAACGGCTCCCGAGGCCGACAAAAAACAACACAACCCGCCCGAACCCCAAAGCCTCGAACGTGCCCGCGCTTCCTGCTTGCTGGACCACCTCAGGACCCCCAGCTGGCTCCGAGCCTGGGCCCTCGTCTTCCAGCGACGACGGCGGCGACGACCGCTGACGCGCCCCCCCCGCGCGATGACCCGCCGCCGAGGCGCCTCCCCCACGGCGCGCTGCACCAGCGAGACGGCGTCATCGACGGCGGAATCCCAAGCCGCTCCCCCCCGCCCACCACCGGGGGGGCGAGAAGGTCGCCAACTGCTGACCCCAACCACCCTCTGGAAGTGGACAAATGAGCAAACGGCATGAGGGCGGGCAAGACCTCCAGGAGGAGGAGGGGAGGAGGAGAGGAGAGGAGAGGAGAGGAGAGGAGAGGAGAGGAGAGGAGAGGAGAGGAGAGGAGAGGGGAGGGGATGGGAGGGGAGGAGAGGGAAGAAGAGGAGAGAAGAAAAGAAAAGAGAAGATGTAGGAAGGACCGACAAATTTCACGCCGCCGCGCCACGGTTGGCGAAAAGGCTGGAGAAGACACAGAAAACGGCAGGTGCCGAGGAGCGTGGCGGACCGGAGGGGCAGGAACGAGCAAGCGGAAGGGTCCACTCAGTTCTTTTTGCTACTATGAGCACGCCCTACGTAGGACCTAGATTCACAATGGCTTGGCAGGCTCACTCCTTGAATCTGCAAATATCACATGTGCGACTGCTTCGCGGACACGCCGTGAAACTACTTCCATGACCATGCGCGGGTGGGCGCGCTGCAGGCCAGCGGCGGCGCCACTGCTGCCTTGGATGCAGTTCCAACGCCAGCTTTGCTTATCTGCTTTCGCTTCTCCGGGGGCACCGAAAGTGTAGATTTAGAACTAGCCATCCGCACTTCCTTGTTCAACGTGCGCCTGGCCCGCTCCTGCGCGAGCTGGACCGGAGCGCATGCTTCGCGCTGAAGAACGCGTGCGCTCACAGGCGGGAGCTCTTCACGAGGTTGCTTTGCAGCTTGAGACAGCAACTGTTCGCCCAAGTCCAGGGCGTCCTTGATGAGCAGTCTGGGCGCACCTCCTGGAGCACGAGAACGTTCTCGAGCATCACCAAAAACTTGCCGGCATCACCCCCCCCTCCTGCAAGACGCTGGAACGCTCAACGGTCAGCGCTGAACTCGAAGGTCTCGCCTGACTGGGCATTTGCGAACATGGCCTAAGACTGGTCGTCATCGGAACTGCCGACGTCAATCTCGAACACCTCCACAAGACCACTCGCGCCAGCATCCCCAGAAGGGGCCCGCGGGGTGGGCAGCGGAGGCCGCTGGCCCTCGCCAGCCCCACGGCGTTCCTCGTCGCGACGCCGCGCAAACCAACGGAAAACCTCGGCGCGGACGTCGGTGCGCAGACGGGCGGACCCAGCCAGGGAAGACACCTCGCCCCGACTGGCTCCCTGGGCCCCCCCCCCGTCCTGATGGGCGCGCCTCGGTGCGCAGACGGCCCCAGAGCACTTCCACCTTACTCAGCTGCTGCTTCCGGAGGCCCTGGACCCCTGTTGTCCGGCCTCGTCGGGTCGCGCGCGCGGGCGTCTCTCGGACCGCTGGCGGGCGGCAGGCACCGCAGCTGATCGACGGGGGCAAAGACGAAGTGGGCGTAGAGGTGGCGTCGACAATGTATGCGCGGATCGACCCATTGCCAAAACGATCAACGCGCAAACCGAGCAGACACCCGACTAGGTATAGAAGCTCGCCGTGGCCGAACGCCTTCGCGACGGCGTCTCTGATATCCTCGGTTCCAGTGGCACATTGGGAACGGTGCCTCGCTCGCGCAGAAACGCGAGGGAAAACCTCGCCGCGTTTCTCCAGGTGCCCTAGCTTCCTAGAGTTCCCTTGCGGACGGCCTGCTCCGCAGCCCAGCTGTCCAGGCGCGCGGTGATCCCCGCGGGAATCGGGCGAGCATGCTCGACCACAACTGCCACTCGGATTGCGTTCTGTGCCGTTGTAGCCTGCGAGAGGGATTCGCTCTGTCCGCTGCCGGCGGCGGGAATGCCTTGGCGGACGGGCACCCGGCAGCAGCCAGAGAGGCGCCGCCCAAGCAGCCTGAGCCGCGGCCCAGGCCGCACTTTCTTTTGAATCCCGTTTCGCGGGACTTGGCGCCGCCTTAACCCCCTCCTCTCCAAGGGCATTGCTTTGCCCAGTGGCCAGATTGGAAACGCAACGTGCAAGCGTCGCGGAACACAGCTTGCGCGCGCGGTGGTGTCCAGGGAGGTCCAATTTGATTGGCCCAGTCGTGCCATCGCAGGAGAAGCGGCAGCCGTTGTCGAGGCTACAGTGGCCTGTCAGGAAGGACCCAGCTGCTGTCCGCGTGATTGTCTTTCTCTTTGTCCTTGCCATTGCTTGCTCCGGGTTTGCCCGCGCGTGGCTCGACAGCGTCGGCGTTGGCACGGGTCGCCTCGCAGACGCTCGGGCCGCAGATGGCCCATCCCCTGCTTTCTTGTCGGCCATCGCGCGGGGTCGTTGAGCTCGACAAGCTCCAGAGCTGTCTCCAGGGGCTTCAGCATGCTGAGAAAGTGCCGCAAGGACTGCAGGGTGGCCAACTTCGGCGGCTGGGGCCGACGGGTATTAGATCTTCGTGATCGGAACGCCACGCGCGCAGCGCATGTTGCAGCACGCTCTTGTCAGTGACCCGCTCGGGTTCGCTGAAGCGCTTGTGCAACGCAGCCGCATGAGCGGCGCCTGAGCTGATGACAGCCTTGGCGAATGCTGCCATCATCGCCACGCCGTCCGCGCGATGCACGGTGGAAAAACACAGGCTCGTATCCTCATCAGATTGAGCGCACTGCTCGAAGGCCAAGGCCCGGCCTGCTTTCGCAAAGCGTGCTTCGTCGTGAGCGCGGCGGAAGGCCAGACGAGGGCGCCGAGGGGACCACGAGCGGCCTCGGCGAACCCATCCGCCTCGAGGCCACGCCAGCCGACGAGCTTTTAGTCTGCCGCCAAGACCGCAAGGCCTCGGTGGACGGGAAAAGAGGCGTGAGCCTTCGCCCCGTGGGAGAGCAGGCAAACTGCGTTTGCCGTCTCCGGTGCTGCGGGACCTCATCTCTGACAACTGACGGGCCACCTCCGCCAGGGACTCGCCCATGCGGCACATTACGAACGTGTTGGCGTCTGGCCTGCTGTCGTCGGTTGTGTCGTGCTGCGCCTGTGCTTGTGGTGTGGTTGTGTGCGGCCGGGCTGTTCGAAGCTGGTTGGGGTCCCTGGAGGTCAGGGAGCACTCAGCCGGATAACGCCTAAATGGGGTAACAGACCCACCATGGGATCCAGGTGTGCAAACTGCAACGACCAGAACAAAAAATGCACTGCATTTTCTGCAACGCGAAAAAACATCTGCACTACAAATTGTTCGGAACTAGTTGCGGAACAACTGCCAACAAGCCCCACAAACAAGGTAACAGAGGGCCCAAAACAAAAAATTGCAGTGCAGCAGCCGAAAATGTGCAACGCAGCCAGCATGTGGAAGGTGCTGCATCGACCGCGAAAACAAAAACAACTGCACTGCAACAAAAAGGCCATGTGATGCCTCGAACCGGCCGTTTCCTGTTACCCCGTCTGCTGTTACCCCGTCTCTGGCTCCCTGAGGAGGCGGCTGTGCCACTCTTCCGGCTGGGCGAGACAATTTGCCACGACCGTCCGAGGGGGCACGAGCCACTGGAGAATCTGAAACGACAGGGAGGCGAATATCCATTAGAGTTTGCAAGGGTATCTTCAAGAGTGTCTTCATCGTCGCTCCGTATGAGCATCGCAGTCGCATCGGCAGCCATCGCGGGCCGTCCAGGCCAGAGCAGGTCCGATCGCGGTCCGATCCAGGCAACTAAGACTGATAGGGATGCAAGGGTTCATAACCTGAGAAAAGACCTTTTCCTGGGCGCTCGAGCCACTACGTAGTGGCCCGGATCCTCAAACCTGAAGGGACGGAGGACGAGAAGGAGGTGAAAGAGTGGAGGAGAGGGAAAGCACTGGACGAGGCGCGCCGAGTCAGGTGACGGGATGATGAGTTTGATGTTGGTGATGATGATGGTGATGACGCAGATGATGATGGTGATGATGATGATGATGATGACGATGACGATGACGATGACGATGATGATGATGATGATGATGATGATGATGATGATGATGATGATGATGATGATGATGGTGGTGATACGTATGATGGTGTCAGTGACTATGATGATACTGATAGTGTTGACAATAAGGATGTTCATGCCGATGATGATGGTGATGATGGTGATGGTGCAAATGATGATGCAGATGCTGCTGCGCATGCTGATGCTGATGGTGGTGATGGCGATGACGATCATGGTGAACGAGATGATGATGTGTATTAGAATGGTGATGGTGAAAGTGATGATGATGACGTTGATGGTGATGGTGTTGTTGATGACGACGATGGTGAATATGGTAATGATTATGATGATGGTGGTGGTGATGATGATGATGATGAGTATGATGATATGGTGGTAGTGATGCTAGTGAAGATGACAGTCTCCATGATCATTGTAATGATGAATGTCATGACGGTGATTGCGATGATGAGTATGCTTGGAATCATGATGATGATGACGATGATGTTGATGATGCTGATGACGGTGATGGCAAATGCGGTGATAATGATGATGTTTATGATGATGATGATGCTGTTGATGATGAGGATAGTAATGGGGATGATGATGATGATGATGATGATGATGATGACGATGATGATGATGATGATGATGATGCTGATGATGATGATGATGATGATGATGATGATGATGATGAGCATGCTGGCGATGTTGATGCTAATGCTGATGATGAGGAGGAGCAAGGTTTGAAAGTGGTGGCGGGGTTCTGCAGGAGGAGGATTGATGGGAATACGACTGCAGTTCAGAGGCCTAGTACACGTTTCGGCTACCGCGGCCTTAAGGCTAGGGAAGTACAAGACCGTGCAAATAAACAGTCAATTTAATCACACACGTTCCATTCATGCATTGGTGCCCGCATGCACGCGTGAGTCGACTACTCTTGTTCGGAATTTAGCACCTGTCATGTACTGGTATGGTTGTTACTGTGTTGTCCCTCCCTCCTCCCATTGACAATCGGCCTAGTTAATCTGCACTTTTGCGGGCTCCACTTCTTTTCCTGCACTCGTTGCATCATTTTGCTGCAATCACCGTCTGCGCAATTCAGGCCCAGTGCCTAAGCCGGTGTCTTACAGTTACGTTGTTCAAACGAACTCAACAGCCTCGTCGCTGATGTTTCTTCGCCTGACGTCCAAAAGGAGGAGGGAGTGGGAGGGGGGAGGGCTGGAGGAGGAGAACGAGGAGGAAGAGAGGCAGAGAGACAAGGGGGGCCGGGGAGGAGGGGAATGTGTTGAGCTTCTTAGAACACAAGCCCGATGTGACAAAACAAGACAAACTCCGCCAGAAATGTTCTGGGAAGACTCCGTGGAAACCACAACAAAGGGTCTCAGAACATTGTTTGGTAGGGCTATGGGCACGCCAGGACGCTTCGCCACTGCTTGAAGGAGGGTGGCGGGGAGCCGCCAGGCGGGGGCCAGGCGGAAGGCAACCGCACCTCGAATCGGGACCTGCCGCCTGGCATGGACTTGCGGAGAGGCACGCTACGGCCCCGGGGGGAGGGCCGCCACGGCGCCCGCTGCGGGGGAGGGGACGAGGGAGGTCGAGGGAAGGGGACGGAGGAGGAGATGGAGGAGGGGATGGAGGAAGGGATGGAGGAGCAGGAGGGGGAGGAGGAGAAGAGAGGAGGAGGGATGGGCAGACAGCGGCGGGTGTCAGGGAGGAGGAAGAGGAGGAGGAGGAGGGAGAAATATAATGAAAAGGATAATGGTCACAAGGAGAAAACGAATAAGAACCATATAAAGAAGCATACTAAGAAAATAATAATAGCAATAATAACAAAAAAGAGGGTGGCATGGAGCACGGGTGAGCCCGCTCCCAGAGAGGCGGCCCGAGAGGAGGGCAGAGGTGAAGAGGGGAAGGCGCAGGAGCAGGAGGGGGGAGGCGGACGACAAGGAAGGGGACAGGGAAGCACGGGACACGAGGAGGCAGGCATGAAGGCAGGCCGCCACCGGCAGAAACGGGCCGCAGGGAGCGGGGGCGGGGCGGACCTCCCCCTGGGTTCTCAGAAGGCCGCCCGCGAGAGGGCCCCACATGGACGGGAGGCCACCGCAACGACCGCGAGTCCAGTCATCCCCCCCCCCCTCCTCCAACTCCAGCTCCTCCTCCTCCTCCTCCTCCTCCTCCTCCTCCTCCTCCTCCTCGTCCTCCAACTCCATCTCCGTTTTCTCCCTCCTCCTCTCCTTCTCCTCCTCCTCCTCCTCCTGCTCATCCTTCTCCTCCTATTTAAGGGCGGGGGGGGAGGGGGGCGGGCGAGAAGGGGGTGGGGGGCGGAGGAGGCAGAGGATGGAGGAGGGCCAGACCAAGGAGGAGGCGGAAGAGAAGGATTATCAGGCAGAGGAGGAGGAGGAGGGAAGTGGAGGCCGAGCGAGGAGGAGGAGGAGGAGGACCAGGAAGTGGAGGACGAGGATGGAGAAGAACCAGGGACCGAGGAGGGCTGCGGACGACCAGGGAAAGGAGAAGGAGGAGGAGGAGGATAAGGAAGAGGAGGAGGAGGAGGAGGAGGAGAAGAAACAGGACGGAGGAGAGAGACGAAGCAGGAGGAGAGGAGGAGGAGGAGGGAGGAGGAAGGAGGAGGGGGAGGAGGGCGAGGAGCAGGCGGCGGCGGAGCACGGGAGACCGCGCGCGAGGGAGGGGGCCCGCAGTGGGCCGGACTCGCGGCCCGCCGCGGCGTGCCGTGCGCGGTGGCCTCCCCGGGCTGGAGGCGGGCCGGGGGCCACGACCCCCCCCCCCGCGCGCGCGGAGGGGGGGGCGGCAGCCGCGGCCCGGGCAGGGGGGGGCCGTCCCGCGCGCGGGCGGCGGGGCGCTAGGGGGGCCCAGCGGCGGCGCGGCGCGCAGGGCTCTTTGTCGTCGAGGCTCGGCGCCGTTGGCTTCGTCTTCGTCGTCGTCTTTGTCGTCGTCGTCGGCGTCGGCGTCGGCGTCGGCGACGGCGTCGTCGTCATCGTCGTCAAAGGCGTCGTCGAAGGCGTCGTCAAAGGCGTCGGCGGTGCTGCCGGCCGGAGGCGGCGGCGACGGCGGCGCGCAGAATCGACAAATGCGACCAAACTGCTGTGGCAACGCATGGGAGCCTCCTATGTAATCTTGCTGGCCCTCTGGGAATCAACGCTATGCGATGCCAGCCGACGCTCGACAACGCTAGTCGACGCTAAATCGACGCTAGAGCGGCTCTTGGCGTTATCGACTGCCACATGCTAGCACACCAGAGAGCACTCTGAAAACTGAATTTCGTGGACATCGCAGCCGAACCCAACGAAAAAACACGAATCGAGCAGGAACGATGAGAGAAGAAATTGTTTCTCCTCTGCACTGCTGACTTCGGCCTTGCGGCAGCGGCGACGACGACGACGACGACGACGGACCAAACTGTCGATTGCATCGTCCACTTTTCGATGAGGGTCTGCGTCCTCCTCCTCCTCCTCCTCCTCCTCCTCCTCCTCCCCCCCTCCTCCTCCTCCTCCTCCTCTCCTCGTCTCGTCCTCCTCCCTCCTCCTCCTCCTCCTCTCTCCTCTCCTCCCTCCTCCTCCCCTCCTCCTCCTCCTCCTACCTCCTCCTCGTCCTCCTCCTCCTCTCCTCCTCCTGGCGACCCCCCCCCGGCATGTCTCAACCGTTTGGACGCCCAGCGAGCCCTCCACGACTGCCCCCAAAGAGCCCAACAGAGCCCCACAGCGGCTCAAACGAGCTCCGCAAAAGCTCCTGAAAGAGATGCAACAAAAAAAGTGTTTCACATGTGCGAAGGGGCCCCAGGACACACACAAATAAATACACACAAATAAACAGATTCCCCTATAGTTCCCCATATGTTCTGGGTTTCTGTCTTCCCCCCCCACTTCCCATAGTTTCCCATATTTCCCTGGGAATCGACGATTAATTGTGTCTGTGTGTTTTTTCTCCTCCTGAGCGACCCCCCCCCGACATGTCTCAACCGTTTGGACGCCCAGCGAGCCCTCCACGACTGCCCCCAAAATAGCCCCACAGAGCCCCACAGCGGCTCAGACGAGCTCCGCAAAAAACTACTGAAAGAAATGCAACAAAAAAAGGGTTTCACATGTGCGAAGGGGCCCCAGGACACACACATAAATACACACAAATAAACATATTCCCCATAGTTTCCCATATCTTCTGGGTTTCTGTCTTCCCCCCCCCACTTCCCATATATTTTCCCATATTTTCTGGGGAATCGACGATTAATTGTGTCTGTGTGTTTTCTCTCCTCCTGAGCGACCCCCCCCCGGCATGTCTCAACCGTTTGGACGCCCAGCGAGCCCTCCACGACTGCCCCCAAAATAGCCCCACAGAGCCCCACAGCGGCTCAGACGAGCTCCGCAAAAGCTCCTGAAAGAAATGGAAAAAGGATTGCACAAAAACGTAGGATTGCAAAAAAAACAAAAACCAGGATTGCAAACAAAAAAAACAGGATTGCAGACAAACCCTGGGTTTTTTTTGCAATCCTGGGGTTTTTTGCACTCCTTAGTTCCTGAAAGAAAAGAAACAAAAGGGTTTCACATGGGACGGCCTTCGCTGCCCTGTGGTGAAGGACGGCGCGATTGCGGCGGGGGGTGCGCGGTTTGGGGTGCCGTGCGCATATGCTTCCTGTGGGGCGCCGGTCTCCGCAGGGGGTCCCAGGGTCCTGCGGTGGAGGGAGGGGGGGGGAGAGAAGGGAAGGGGGAGGGGGAGGGGGGAGAAAGGAGAGAGAGAGAGAGAGGAGGGAGGGAGGAGGAGGAGGAGGGAGGGAGGAGGGTGAGAGAGGGAGGAGGGAGGAGGTAAGAAGGAGGGAGGAGGAGGGAGGAGGATGTGCAGGGAGACGGAGGATGTGGAGGATTACCCCGGAGGCCACCGAAGGAGGGGCGGCAGGTCGGCGGGCGGAGGGGGGCGGCGTGGGCGCACGTGCGGCAGACTCGTGTCGTGGCGGCTTGCACGCGGGCCTCTGACACCATGTGGACGCGTCGACCTCGAGCGCCCCCGCTGCCTTTCGATCGCCAAGTCCCGCCCTGCTGGCAGATTCCGGGACCTGGGCGGCGCTCCGCCCCGAACGCCCACCCGAGCCCGTAGAGAAACCTACCGTGGCCTCGGGGCCCGCTCCTCCGGGGGACTGCGCACTTTTTCTCCACCCACAGGGCTCGGGCCTCCAACGACGGGGTGACGACCCTCTCGAGCTTGGCGGGTGGGGGTTGCGTCGGATTCGGGCGCGGGCCTCTCCGAAGCCTGTTCCTGCTCGTGGCAAGACGTGGCTGCGCATCCCCTCTCACAAGCCGCAGCTGAGCCCGACCCGGGCCTGAATCCTGCACGCTGGCACCGCAACCCGCGCAAAGCAAACAAGGCGGCTCAAGTACGAGCCCATGCGATGATGCAGGCCTGCACGATATCGGGCCCGTGAAAAAAAAAAAAAAAAAAAAAAAAAAAAAAAAAAAAAAAAAAAAAAAAAAAAAAAAAAAAAAAAAAAAAAAAAAAAAAAAAAAAAAAAAAACGCTCCCAGCGGAAGGAGTGTCCGCCGCGGGGTCTCCTTCGAGGCGCATCTTGGGCGGGAGTGCCATGCGCGATCGGAGCGAGGCTCTGCATCCGCAGTGCTTCTCCAAAGCTTGCCTTTCCTCGGGCTCCAGCCGCGAGGCATCCGCTTCGAAGTCCATCACAACGTCTGCTGTGCCAGCCCCGCATGGATCTTTGAAGGGGCCCCAGGACACACCAATAAATACACACAAATAAAACAATCTTCCCCATGTTTCCCCATATTTCTTGGGTTTTCGTTTTCCCCCCCCAACTCCCATATTTTTCCACATTTTCCTGAGAGTCGACGATTGATTGTGTCTGTGTGTTCCTTTCCCTCCTGAAGCTTGGAAACCTGCCTCCTGCAGACACTCGTGGAACCTGACGAGCCACGGGGCCACGTCCTCGGCCCTGCGCCCGCGGACGTCAATGACAACCTCGCGCGCTCCCCTGGGACCCCCCTGGCGCAAGCCCCAGCCTTGGACCCCCCGAAGCACATCCGCAGAACCTCGAGAGAGGGGGCCTTCCAGAGCCTCCTGTGGGCCTCCACCTTTGTTTTTGTATAAGACGACGCCAGGATCGGGGCGAAGTTTGACCGGGATAAAAAGCATGCTCGGTTTTTCAAATCACCGGGGGCGCCGCCGAATGGGCCTGCCACGCCTTGGGCGCCATCGGCTTCGCGAGGGAGGAAATGCGCCCCGGCGCGGATGAGGCCAATTTGGCCACGCGCGCGCCTGAGCGAATTCTGCGCCAATCGCGCCTCACTCCAAAAGACCCGACGATAACAAAACAAAATGGAAGCCCCAAGGGGGCCCCAAGGAGGCGGACCGCCAAACCAGTCACGCAACCAACGCAACGAAAAACACGTAAATGTCAAAAAGCGTGCTACTCAGTGACCTCTTCGGCCATGCAACACCGCGATTATGCCCGAGAAGGCATTGAAAAAAGGCCCGCGCGCGGCCCGGCGACGTCCCCGCGCCGCCCCAGGCGCCCCGAAGCGCGCCGAAATAACCGTAGATAAAACCCGGATAGTCTCTGGAAGGTCCCCGCGCCAGGCAAGATCCGCCACCGAATAATCTCGCGGACACCTAGCACGTACGCGCGGGCGTCCACCATGGATGCCCGACTCCTGTTTCCGAGAAAATCGCGCGCAACCGCCCGGGGGCCTCGGCAACCTCGCGATTGGCCCCGGGGCCCGCGGGCCCCAGGGAATCGAGGACCGAGTTCGAAACTCCCGAAGCACCAAGCGCGGCGCCAGCCGGTCGCTCGTCTCTGGCTGACAGTAGGACGCCTGGAAATCCGGTAAAACCTGCGGAACCGCTTTTCAGAGATTCACAGAACCAGAAACCGGGGCGCGCCAAATTTTAGCGTCCGAACTTCTCTGAGAATCTCTGAAAATCTCTGAACTAGCCGCCCCGCCTGAAACATTCCCATAATCCCAAAACTCCGGAGATGGCCGAAACTCTCTGAAAGCTTTTCGGCCCGCGAAATTTGGCGCGCCTGGATTTCTGGTTCCGAGATTCTCTGAAATCGGCCTGCGGCGGCGCCCGGCAGGTCCACCCGCGCCCAGGGTGGGGGCCGTGGACATCGCGGGCCGCGATGGCCCCGACCACGAGGTCCTTCCCCCTGCCCCTCGACGACCCCACGCTCATAGACACGCTCTCTGCGCTGAGCGTGGACCGCGCCATCCGCCGGTACTTCTGCGCGACGACAGCCAACTTGCCGCCGACGGACGAAGCGATTTTTTATCCGAGCTGCGCGTGCCACCGAAAACGTACGATTGCCCCGGGCTCGGGGAGAAACACTTTCGAAGCACTTTCAGGCCGCCAGCGTCGCGGCTGCCGACCCGCCGCGCGCCGGCCGCGAGACTAGCTGGGCCCACTACGTCGACGGCGGCGGGCGGGCGCCCTAGAGAGCTGTCGCCACGGTGCGCGCGGCGGGGCGCCCGCCCCACTGCAACCGCAAATGCGGCCTCCATGGCGCCAAATGCCCCCATCAACGCATCGGCCAGCGCCCAAGTCCCTGAAACGCAAAACTACTGTGCCCCCCGTGCAAGCCGCGCACCCGCTCCCAATGCTCGTGCAAACCAGTTTTTCTGCCCGCCCTCAACAGTTCAATCGAGTGCCCATGTGTTACCTGGGCTCCTCAAGCCCTCGAACACTCCTTGGGGAACTTCTGCGAATGCGCGCGCTACGCTTCACAAATCGGCGTTATATTTTTCTCTGGAACTCTCCCAAAATCTCTGGTTCCGATTTGTCCCGATCTTCCGCTCAATTGATTGTAGCGGCAGCACTCGAGAGCGGCAAATGGCAAGGAGAGGAAGAC